GTTAGAGCACTGTCTCCTAGGCTGTTTGTCATTTAGCATGGGCTTGTAATATAGGTCTTACATTAGTAGGCTATTCTGTAGAGCACCTTGTATCTCTGCTCCCACCGGCTGACATTTAAAGTCACCCGAGTCATTTGCGTGTGTCCCTAATTTTATTAAGTCAGAATTTATTGTTGTAATTACATTATACAAGCTGATAAAATATGAGTACACAAAGAAAGACAGCTGCTCCACATATTCATAATTTGAAATGTTTGAAAAGACCCGATAAAGGCATTGAAAGATCATTGGTGGCAAATTGGGGTGGGAAAATGATTATTGAGGATCTAGAGGCTGGAATTCTTTAAAGAAATAAGAGCCTTTACATTTAGATTTCTTTGCAAGTGCTGTTAAATTTTCTCCCATTTTAAAGAAAGCAAAACTTTGAATAATGTGGTACTCATGTGTATTAAACACAAAACAAACAAAAAAAGACAAAGGGTCAATAGAGTCACTGACCTCACACTCAAAAGAACGGCTTCATAGTTCAGATGTTGAAATTCTAACCTCTAAAGCTGCAGTATTAAGAGGCAAAGTCTTCTAAAAGATGCCTAAGGGAATTCTTTTATCCTTTTCATGAGGTAAAGACACAGTGAGAAGCTGATTGTCTGTAATCTGGGTGGGAGCCCTCAGCAGAACCCTGACATCCTGATCTTGAACTTCCCACCGTTTAGAAATTTGAGAAGTAAATTTCCCTTGTTCCTGACTCAGGCCATGGATTTTGTTAAGGTAGTCCAAAATGACTAAGATATACCAAATAAATTGTGCACAGATATACAGATTTGTTTTCAGTTAAAGCAAATGTTAGAGGTGGTCACATGTCATGGTTTACATCTAAAATGTGTCCCCAAAGTCTGATGTATTCAGTTATGGGGCTTTTGGATGGCTGTTGGATCATCGGGGCACTATACACATAAGAGGATTAGTGCACTGTTGAGGTCACTGGCTGTTAGGAGGTGAGGCCTGGGTGGAGGTGTGCGACTGGAGGCAGGACCTGGAAGGCTGTGTTATTCTTGACCCCACCTTCTCCCTTCTCTCTGTTTCCTGGCTGCCATGGCTGAATGCTTTTCCTGTGTGCCCCTCTGCCATGCTATTTCTGCTCTGGAGCCAGTCAACCATGGATTGAATCCTCCAAAACCTATAAACCAAAATAAATCTTTCCTTTTAGTGGTGGGTGTTAGGTATTTTGTCCCAGCAACGGAAACATTGTCTAATGTGACACTTTCTGATTTTCTGAAATAACCGGTAATATCTTACTGTTCCTGAGACAGCTGAAGAAAAATGATCTGCTGTACTTCAGCTTCCCAAATGTCCCTTTCTCACAGCTCCATGGCTTTGAAAGTGCTGCTTCCTCTGCCAGGAAAGGCCCTCCCTGCTCTCCGGGCTCCCTTACCTGGCACGTTCTGACTTGTCCCACACCCCACGCTACCCAGAACGCTATAACTCCCTGTACTACCATATCAGGTGTGATCCCCTGCATTTCGCTTCTTTTTAGTTATTTTTCCCCCAATATGTCCTTCTCTGTTTTTGTTTATTTTTAGCAGTGGAACTTCTATATTTGGAAAGTGCCCCACCCTAAAGTCTTGCCTTCCTCTTACTGTAGAAGATCTAAATGCAGGCTGCTGTTTTCTCTGTCACTCATTGTTGGCACCCAGACACGTAGGCAAAGCTTTTCTGCCATTTGCTACACGCTCCAGCTCCGCTTTTACCTAAATAGCCAGTGACATGAAGCTGGCTGGATGCTGCTGAGACTACTCCCGAGTGGAGGTGCAGCAGTAGAACTGGCTGTTTTCAACTCTGGAGATGCCGGTGGCAGAGATACAGAGTATTTAGTTGCCTGTAAAACTGGCTCTTTTACCCTACCAGTTATTCTGTAAGCCTTATAATAGCTTTTAATAAATTATTTTCTGTCTAAAATTAACTAGAGTTGGTTTCTATCACTTAAAGCTCAGAATCTTGGCTGATATTTTGCCTGAAGACCATGGTACGGCATTGTGATGTTCCCATGTAGTGCTACCCCGTGTAATTGAAAACTCAGAGGGTCCCATTTTATCTTTATAATCCTAGTGCCTAGCACAATATAAAGTAGTACATGGTAGATTCTTAACAAATTGCTATTAGGCATTACTTAATTAACTACTGATGGTAAAAGACTTCTCTGGAAATCCAAACCCACAAAATGACAACAAATAATCCCAAAATATTTGCAATGGCTTGAGAACTGTGGTCTACTCTAGGTAGCTCCTCTGTCTGCAGTTTTTACAGATGAGAGTCCAGCCATAGCATTTAATTAAATAGCATTTATTTAAATACGAGATGGTAACTTACATCATCTACATATATACTTAGCAGCTCTGCAAAATGTTAGTAATGCATATAAAATGTACACGATTAAACACCTTCACTGTAGTGAATGATGAGCATTTTTAAGGACAATCCACCAAACCAAAGAACTGGGAAAACTGTTGTCTAAGCTAAATATTTCCGGATGTTCTACCACACATTCTCACCATCTTCTTGGTCAGTTCCAAGTTCTGCAGCGTCCCACAAGAGCTAAGAAAACACAAGTATGCATATTTGAAACGGCCCATACTTGGATTTTCTCAAGCAAATTCCTCTGTAAACCACACCGAAGAGAGAGACAAAGGCTTGTAAAAATCAACTGAATAATCTAGGGTCCAGTAGAGTGAGGTATGGTTGTTGGACCAAATTAGTTGCCTATTTCTCAATTGTCTCTTTATTTCACACTACATGAAACTGGTAGATGACATATCTGACTTACAGATTGTCTTTGGCTAGAATGTTTTCTTTCTTAAAGAAATTCAAGGGGACATTGGGTAGAATGAATTAGCAAACTTACGTCACTATTATTCCTGAATATATAATCAAGCATTAGCAGCAGTTACAAGTATATGAGTATAATACATTAATTTAAAATGCTTTCAACGACACACACAAAGTTAAAATTATAACAAGTACCAAACAACACTGAACCAGAGCATTCTAGAGCTGAAGAAGGACCTTAATCTCTAGAACTATGTACTCTTCTCTTTAGAGACTGTGTATCAGCAATGTAAAATCATGGCTCCTAATCCTGATTTAGCATATGAGTTTGTGTAACTAATCTGTTGCCTCTATATTCCTATTTTCTCATAAGCCAAATATAATATAAATCCTTCAAAAAACCCTTCCATAAGGTACCAAAGACTTAGGTTAGGGCATGAGATTTTTTGTGACCTTCTCTTTTAGACTTGGCTCCCATGTACTCAAAAGATTAAAAAAAAAAATCTAGCTGGGTGAGGTGGCACACACCTGTAATCCCAGCACTCAGGAGGCTGAGGCAGGAGGATCGCTGAGTTCGAGACCAGCCTGGGCTACATAGTGAGTTCCAGATCAGTCTTAACTACATAGTGAGTTCCAGGTCAGTCTCAAATACATAGTGAGACCCTGTCTCAAAAACCCACCCCCACCAAAAAAAAATCTGTCTACCTAATGGAAAATATCTCTCCCTGCTTATATACCAGGCTGATTACACCTTTCTTCCAAACAAATTTATGACCTTTCTGTGGCATCATTTTCTGTCTTCAATAGGGTATTTTCCACAGCTCCTGCTATAGAATTTTGCATTATAGTAATTTGTTTACAACTTCTCCTTTTTGTTAGATTTTGAATTTTATGAGATGGAGTGGTATGTGGTCAAATCTCCTGTGCCTAACACTATTGTTGGCATATAGCAGTTTTTCTGTGTTTGTGAGGAGATTAGAATGTTTATAAAAGTGCTTTGAAAATCAAAATAGTACCAAGCAAACCTAAGCAGTTATCATATTGTGTTCATATTGCAGAGGAAGGCACTTTGGAAAGTAAAACATTTGTCTGAAGAATAAAATATTCTAATTATGGACAGACCTTAAACCAAAAGATAGGATCCATTAGTCTACAATGTAAACCTTGTTCACAGATAGCACAAGACAAATACAAAAATATTTTTAAAAATTCAAATCACTTAATCTCTCTACAAAATAAAAACAACAAAGAAGAAAAATTAAAACAACAACAGATACCAAATAAAGCCCAGAACCCATCTTTCCTTACTTCCCTGGGTCATCTCTGCCCTGTGGGATTCTGTGTACAACCAGAGTAGGAGCCCGTGGGAGAGGGGGTAGCTGACACGACTGAGCTGCCTTGACAGGGCTTATTGGTTAGAAGTCCCACTGTTCAGGGCCAGCAACATCTTCTGTGATCCTGGATAAATGCATTTGGGGTAGCAGCAAGAGAATCCTGGTTTTGATAATTAGCCGCAGACATTCTGGGCTTCTAAAGTATTCCCTCCTGACACCACTTTCGTAAAACCAAAATCAAATTGGCTTCATGCTCCTTCGCTGCCTTCTTCCTCTGGATATGGCTGATCCCTGTACTTCACACTCGGAAGGCCATTTATCCCCTCATCCCACATTCTTTCTCACAGTCATTTTAATTGACAAAATCCACAAAATGCCCACTTATATCTTCCCAGTTTGTGCTTGTTACCCTGGAGTAATTATTTATAACATACTCTTTCGCTTTCAAAAGTGGCCCAATTTGGAAATAACTTATATAGCCCTCCTGTTATGAGTGGCACTCAGACGTGGGACAGACTGTAGGTGAGACAAAGGCTCATCTGCAGGAAGACTATAGTCAGACTCTGGCATCTGATCTTGGTCCCAACCCTCACTTAAGGGACAACTTAGTCAAATTTCTTAAGCCCTCAGTCTCAATTTCATCATCTATAAAAAAGGGAATAATAATGATGATTATAAATCCTATCTTCCTAGATTATTATGAAGATGAAATGAGGCAAAACATGTAGTGCACTCAGCACAGGGGTGGATATAAACTAAGTTTGAATAACAATAGTTGTCATCTTTTTCTTCTCATTCCCTTACCCTCTGCTTTTAACTTTTTTCTTCTTTCTTCTTCTTCCTCCTCCCCCTCCTTCTTTTTTTTTGGTACTGGGGATCAAATGCTTGCAAGGCAGGGGATGGAACCACTGAGCTTGGTCCCCTCACTCTCTTTTCATCCCTCTATCTTTTCTTTCAATCTTTCTTTTATTCTTTCTTGCTTTTTAAGCCTTTTATAATTAATTCACTGGGTCACCTGAAACCACATGACCAAATCAACATGGTAGAAGCAGAATGTTCCTGCCTCATGTTGAAGGCAATTGAAGCAAGAGGGCAAAGCAATGTCTCAGAATCCCGAAGACTATGTAGTTATGTAGCATTAATCTTGCCTTCTTTGTATTGTAGGAACTCTAGATTTCACCTTCCAGCCTTTATTATTAGTCATAATAGGGACTGTCTTGGGTTTCCTACAGTTCACTGGTTTTTGTAAAAATTGGACATGGTGACATAAGCTTCTTCCTGATTTTGTCTCAAAGAAGTGAGGATGGGCTGTCCCTGAACACCTGTGTTCAGTGTCAGGATTCCTGATTGGAGAGGAAATGGTGGGACCACAGTGCTGCCTGCAGTTCCAGGACTAAGCAGCAAACCCTGGTACATATGAGAGCCACTCCTGGCACCCTCCCTGCAGTCTGGGGACCAGAAAGAGGGGTGCATAGAGACCTCACATGTACTGATGTTTCCCGCAGGACATCCAAAGGGTAACTCTCCTTTGAAAGCTTCTGAAGTGGTAACTGGAATCTGAGATGGCCAGTTGGGTCCTTGCCCACTCCCTGCATATCCCTGTTTATCAGACTCCTCTAACTGTGGAGAAAGAGTGTCTTGCAGAAAGCTTTCCACTTCATCTCTAGATTGAATGTCATTGACCTTATGAATCTGGAACTCCAAAAAATGTTCAGGGTTGAAACTCACATTCAAATTCTGCACAGAAAAAAGAGAGAGACATTAAAATGGTACCAGAGAAATGGGCCAACAAACATTCATTTCAGGCATAGATTTAAAGAACCTTCTGATCAGAGAACCTTCTGATCACAGATTTAAAGAACCTTCTGACCAGCAAATGTCTGAGAATTGCTCACATGCTCACATGCTTCTGGAGGTGCTGTGACTCTTCAGGGTTTGAAATGAACACTTGTGTCCTGCAGCCCTGATAAGTTTAGAAGTATTGAGGCTTGCATCTCATTTTAGTTCCTTACCTACAGTGGGATATAGATAGGGTCTCATACAGGACCTTAGCTAATGGGTGCATACAAGACCAGAAGTTGAGGTACAACTATTTCTTTTTCGGGAATATCTTTCTTGGCTACTGGGATGGTACCATAGTGTTTCTTTAAGTACCTGACACACTTACTTTTTCTGGTTTCTTACACAATTGTTCCAGAGTTTTCTTATGATCAGGTAGACTTGGCCATACAATAGGCTTAATCCTGAAATCAGAGGACATTGATAGATAAAGTGAATGGTGGAAATAACACACCCAATAGATTTTTCTACTTATTCTGAGCAAGGAACTACAACTAGTGGGTGACTGCGGACAAGTGAAATGTGTTTTCTGGGCCCCATTGCCCTATCAATCCAAGGACAGGCTGGACCAGAGTTCATTGTTATTAATCTACTCTACAAACAAGATGTTGTGGGGAAGAAGAAGCTTCTAGAGGGAAGGAACAATGATATTGGAATGAGTTAATTTTCATGTAGCTTTGAAAATATAGTTTGACATGGTCATTTACTCCCAATACAGATATTGTCATCATATCCCTTCTTTACTGACTGTAACTCCTTTGCTCTAATTTTTGTGGAGGTGGAGAACATGTTCTAAATTACTAATGGAAATTGCTTTAAGGCAAAACTTTTCCAGTTGGTGTATTTGCAATAATGGATTTATGGCCCTGTATTGAAGAGATTTTCTTACATTAAGTAACTTAACTGGTGATTTTTATTTTAGGAATAGAGTTTTCCTAATGTTCAGTTTTATACATTTTGGCATCTTAAGAAATTAATTGTGGAATTTCACTGGCACTTGAGAATAGGAAGGGGTGAACACTATAATTCCTGATATATCTAATGCCCTTTTGCAAAGTTCTCATCATTACTTGTGGCCTGAACTTTCACTAACTTGGATTCCTTATAAGCACCCTCTAGATTATTTTTAAAACATCACCTTTTTTTCCATAATGCACAGGACAAGATGACCAACAGAACCACACAGAAAAAGCAGGTAATGCTGATAGTTAATATTTCTTCTGAAATACAAAGATAGTGATTAACATTCAGTAAGTATAGAGTTGGGTAGACTTTCAGAAAACATTGAATTTGTTTAGGAACATTGGATTTTTTTATTATTTCTTGAAAGCTGGTCTTTGGTAAACAAGATGATGTGCCTAGTTTAAACACTACTGACTTGGGTGACTAGAGCTAGAACATCAGCCACTTGAAATGCCAAAATGATCTAGCATCAGAAGTACCGCAAGTCCCTTTCTAACTCCTCCCAGCAAGGAGAAGAAGTCAAAGTAGGGAGTGAAGAAAATAAACGTTCACCCTCAAGTCACAACAAGTGCCAGGGGAACAACAGGAAGTTGGCATGACAGTGTTATAGTTTTCCCAACCAGCCAAAGAGAAGGTCTGTGTCAGTTTTGGTTTTTTATTTTTTGAACTTTCCTGAGCCATGTTCTCTGCCTTTTCTGGCTATTATTATTATTTTTGTTTTCCCTACCGGGGATTGAACTCAGAACTTGGCACTTGTGAGGTTGGTGGTGGCACCACTGAGCTAAATCCCTGTCCCTGGCTATTATTACTTTGCAGACCACAAGGACATCTTTGCAATTTTTGGAAAAGGAGATGTAGGATAGCCATGCTGGCTTGTCCACCTGCCATCCTAAAAAGATGTTTCCCTAGGGGATGTTGAAGAGACCAGCTGTGGGGATCCCAGCCTAAATTGGTAAATAGGAGACAGTTGTGGTTACTAGAAGCTACCAGGAACACCACAGGCAGTAGCAGTAAGACAACTGCATCAGTCATCGGCTACTAAGGACTGCTGTTCCCATGGCTTTCTTATTCTTTACAAAAAGAACAGAGATAAGAAGGAGACTATTCTCCAAAGAGAGTGGAAGACACCCTCCTAGGGCCTCGTAACCAGCAGGTTCATTGTATCAATCTCCCTCTCCCTTTCTACCTTACACTTTGACATACAAGGTATTGTAAGAGGAATGAGGACTTTCTGTACCCATTGCTCACCTGCACTGTTGGCATCTGGAATTTTGAAGTGGGAACTTGGACTCCATTCACTCCAGAAGCCTTTATAATATTCACCGTCGGGAATGGATCGAACTTTAATCTCATACTTTGCACCAGATCGCAGCTTTCTCAGTGGCAGTGTTAGCCGTGTGTTGGATGTACTCATATGCTGAAGGTTAAAGCATAACATCAGATGCTTTCAGATGTGAAAAGTGATGTTGCTCAGTTCCCAAGTCACTTCCAGGTGAACTCCTTTAGGACTGTCAGCACCCTCCTGAGGTCCTCTCACATTTGTTAAACAAAAGAAATCAAGTAAATGGAGGGTTTAGCAGCCGAATCAGCAGCAGATTCTCTGAGCTCATAAATAGTGCCAGCAGTCGCCAAAGAGAACTGTCATAGTGTGAGTTTTTCTCAGCTGAGTTAGGCTTTTCCACTTCCAGAAGATATAAATCACCCCCAGGATTTTATCTTCCTTTCCATGTTTAAATACATTCTTTAGCTTCTCTCCTCTTTCACATGCCAAAGCTAAATGAAAGGATAGATTAAGGAGCAAGAATAATTCTGCCCCACACAGATGTCAGTTTATGTTGTGAATAGCAATAAAAAGGCACTGTGTAATATCCTTAAGGAAGAAATAAGAACGAAAACTTTCTATACCTTTTATAGGTTAAAAAGTAATATTCCACTGTGATTTACATTTACTCTTTGTATATATTTATTGGATTTATATATGTCTTACTCATAAAACATTTCCAAGTTTTTATTTTTTCTGTTGTAATGTTTTTTCTTAATAATTCATTAAAGCTCTTTATATAGATATTGACCATCTGTCAGCTGCATACATGGTGGCAATTTAACCTTGATTTTTCATTTGCCTTAGAATTTTGGCTGCCTTCTATGTTGGCACAGATAAGCCTGTGGTAGGGGCTATACGCTTAACTATACTTTTTTTCTCAGACAATCTATTAATTTGCAACCACTTATTCAAAATATTTTGTTCTTCAACTGTATTTGCTTTTCCATTAGTACAATTTTCAGATAGATAACAAAAAGGATAGGATCAAGGCCATCCATTTTTTATATATGTATAGGGTGAAGAGCAGGAGGGAACACATAGTTTGGGGAGCAGGCCTTATATTTCTGTAAGTAGCATACTACAAACAATCAGGAGCAACCCTGTGCTGATCAAGGAGGGCAGTAGGCATCCTGAAAGCCTGGAGAAAGAGAAATCACACATCTCTGCCCCTGTGGTGCAGAAGGGACAAAGTTAGACTTGCATCTTAGAAGAAGTCAGATCGCCCCAGTGCTTTACTCCCACCTCCTCCCTAAAATAGATAGCAGAAACAGTCAGGTTACTTCAGACTCAGCAAATCCTGAAGAAAGAAAAGAAAAAAAAATCCAGACCATGGGGAATAACTAATAAATTGTTACTTCAGTGACTAAAATGTCAGACTTTAAAATAAAAATATAACTTGGGCAAACTTTCTGCATCCTTTTCTTAACCTCATGCTCCTCCCACAAAACCCAAAACAAAACTGTGATGCTACCCAGAAATGTTGTCTGTCTGGTTCACTTAAGAAGGTATAACTAGATATAATACTTTCTGAGGATCACTTTGATCTCAATCTATGTTGTGATAAATTAAATTAGAGACATAAAGAGAAACATTTGATCCTGGAAAAAAATCAGAGCTAGATCAGGATGGGCCCAGGCGGGTGTAGGTTTTGCCAGGTCTGAAGCTAATGTGATCTTGGGAGTATCTTTCAGAAAAAGACATATTCTGGAAAAAATCATTAAGTTTTCCAAAGTAAGTGAATTTCTAAGACAATAAAATACATTGATTTGGTTGATCTACATACCGTCCAGTTGTTTCCATCTTTTTCCTGGTGGTAGGCTACATCATGAATTAAGTGTTTTACATATTTCTTTTGCAAATGTGATGTGTTAAATGTCACTTCAAAGTCATTTGCTCTAGCGCGATAGATAACTTTTATGTCAAATGGAGCCTCAGGTTTCACTGCAAAAGAAAAAGAAAGTCTGGGTTATAAAGCGATCAAGGAAATAACTCTTAATTTTCAAAGTCCATCTACTCTGCAAATCCTTTCTATTGGTGTCAGTAGCTGACCTACTAATCCAAAATCCATTTCTTCATTTTCTTGGATTCAAATGCAGACCACATTTCCTAGCCTCCCTTGCAGATGGGGTGGCCTTCTATTTAATGTGAGTGGAAATGACTTCCTCAGCTCCACTTTGGCCCAGAGTTCTCCCACAGGCATGAAATTCCCCTCACCAATCCCCTTGCATCACTTGGACTCATATATTGGATAGCATAGTCACAAAGTGGAGGGAACCCTAGTTTTTCTTAGAGGGGCACCATCTGCAAGTTAGGAACAATCATTTTGGCTCTTATGTGAGCAAGGCATAGACTGAGGGTGTCAGATATCACACAGCTGGGGACTATTTCTTATAGCAGCTAAAACGTATTGTCTGTGTCTGTAATACTAGAGAACTTGTTAACAAATATCCCAAAGCAGTATAATGTAAACTTTGAGTTTTCATCCTTCCAACAAAATTAGGTGATAGCTAGGGAATTTTGCACCTCATTAGTACATGGAAGTGAAGGATCTGCTTCCTGGCCCTAGCTCATAACTTCCTGAGTGGCTTCAGATTTTCTCTTCTGTCAGTCTCAGATGCGTTAACTTTGAACTCCTTGTGGGCCTCTTCCTCCTCCTTGTCTGCCTCACAAAGTTGTTGCTAGGATCAAATGTGTCATATAAAATTTCCTGCTGGAGGGAGATAGGTAGTATTTCAGGCAGAACAGACCCAGAGAATAACATCAGGCCACTTCACCATCTTGAACTTGAGACTTCCTCGTTGTGGTGTACCTTGCTCTTTTAGCATGGTCTGGGAAATTATTCATGTGGGGATGGGGCCTTACTGCTCTCAGGCCCTCTTGCTAATGAGAGGATGTGTGTTCATTAACTTGCACTTGGTAGACTGAGCTAAATTCTAAACGGTTTGAGTTGGGCTTGAGAATAAACTACTGGCCTAAGCAAATGAAAACCTTATAAATGATTTTGGCCCAGAATACAACAAATATTGTCTTCACTTGTGGTACTGTGGTGACTGCCTACTTTTCTTCTGCATTGCTCTGGAGGTACTGAAAGAGAAGTGGCTTTTTCTTTAACTTTTGGGTTTCTTGTAGAAGGGGCAGTTTATCCTTTTGTACCTTAGAATCACTATAAAAAATGAGTACTTCCTAGGCTTGAAGGGAGCAGAATGAAAGGTAGTGAGTATTGAGAGGCAGCCCAACAGAGGATCCTGGTGACCCTCTTACCCCGTCCTTCCTTCACATTCTCAACAAAAGCTTCTGAGACTATGCCCTGCTGTCCCCATTTCCCAAGGACTCTCAGTAATAATGGAAGAACTCAGGGAAGAACAGCTCAGATACTGATTACACACTACTGACTACAATCTCTTCTGCTTATGCTGACTTCAAACGATAGTCTCTTATCACCCCTACACTGACAAGGAAACAGAGCCTTAATTAACTGAGGTTTAATTAACTTACACTCTGCTTCTGTAAAATGGCTTAACAGGACTTGAGTTTGATTTGGCCTGCTTCTGAGTCTCACCCTTTTTCATTTAGCTTTGAGCTTTTCAGCCTGCTATTTCACACTGGCTTGTCCAGAGGCCTCCAGACAATTCACCTTCAGTTCAAATGTATCTGCACAAGCTGCACAAACCAGGAAAAGGTGCTCATTTCTTACACAATAAATATTTTAAAAAGTTAATATGTTCTTGTATAGTCTGAATAATCACATTAATCTATTCAACCAATCCAAGTGGGAAAGTAAGAAGCTGCACCTTGTAATCTTATTGGGTGAGGGGTGGGGGGTATGTAAAGGCAGAGAAGAAAAGGAGAAAGCATTTGGTTGTAGGGGAGCTCTGCCCATGGGAAGTTTAAATTCAATTCAGTGGTAAATCCATGAATGAATTGTCACAATAGGAGCTAGGAGAAGATGTTGCTGTGAGACTCCATAGCTTCTCATTCTACTTGCCCAGAGGTGTTTTTCAAAGCCCCCGGAGGCTCAACCCACCTCTTCCACAGGCACCTGTGCTACCTGCAGGGTGTTTGCTCAGCTTCAATCCGCTGTCTCTCAGAGGAGAGGCGGTGGTAAGGTTTGCAATCTGCTTGTGGGTGCAGAAATAGGTCTCTAAGGACCCTGGGACCATGAGATCTAGGAATATTGATGTAATGGGGTGGCCTCCTGAGCCTTAGGGTGTGCTGTGAGCGTTCACATGCGTGCAGGAGCTTGTGTCCTAGTGAAGATTAATGCAAGAATGAACTCTCCCCCATTCCAGCAAGCTCTCAAAAGACCATGTATTTCTTCCATTTCTCAGAAAAATGAATATGAATTTGCAATGTAAATGGTGAATATTTAAATAAGACGCTTTTGTGAAGTGCACAAAATAACCATTCATTCATAGAAGGCTGTTCTGAATGACCCAAACCCAGATTTCTCATGCCTCAGATCCTCACCCTGGACTGATGTGGCAATGTTGCCTAATGTTTCTTTTCAATTACTTTTGCTTTTATTCCAAGTTAATCATTCCCTCATAGAACATCCATTTAATTTTTATTTTGCCATGTTTTGAGTATGTGTGCATGTGTTACTGGGGATTCAGGGTCTTTGCATAGTCTATCCTACAGTGCTCACCTATTTGGTCAAATTTCAATCTAAAGGTATTTTTTAAAGACATACTTAAAATTTAAATCAGCAGGCTTTCAGTGGAGCGGATCATCTTCCATATGTGGTAGGCACCATTCAATTAGTAGAAGAACATAAGAAGGAAGACTGGTTCCTTGAAGAAAGTAGTTTGTTTCAAGAAAACAAGGTAGAAAACATCTGCATAAACTTTCTGCCAGCAGAATTTAGATTCAATACTACAATATTTATCCTTGTCTGAATTTTTAGCCTTCTGGTTTTCTAGTTTGAAATTCCAACTTCCAAAAAAATCTCTCTCTCTCTTGATTCTCTTCCCTCTGGAAAACTCTAATACAGAAACCATATGTGCTTTCAAATGTAGCTTGCTGATTTAGCTAAGTGCACTGAGTATATGGAGAAAAGACTACAAGGAATTCAGGGGAAGGCAAGGAAAGGAAACGTGTCAGTGGATGTTGGGAGAGGCTCAGCTACAGCGAGACACTCCATACTGATCTGCTCTGCCCTTGATCCATGGGTGTGAAACATCCTCTTTCAAAGTTCAGTTTGAAGATCTTTATAATTCTTTCACCATAAGAATTGGTACTTCTCTTAGTTTTCATTTATTTAAAAATGTCCTTTAAGAATTTGTTATTATCTATTGTAGATTATTTTCACAATTTGCCTACTTTTAACACAGAGAAAGTCTAGACGGTATACCAGACATCTGCAAATATTGAAAAAGTGGTAACCATCTTTGTACACAACTGCTTACCTAAGTGGGATATTTCCACTTGTTTACAAGCTAGATTATCTTCTCCAAGTTTCACGCATATCTTGCTTTCACCAAGCAATAAGAACTTTTTCGTCTTGATGAAATATTTCTCCTCTTGCAGTTTACTAAATTTCATACATTCTACTCCAACAAGGCTCTTACTGCAGAAACAAAAAGGAAATGTCCTGACTCTGGTCTCATTTTATAAACATTGGTATAGTATCATATGTACATTTCAGTTTTAGGACTTTAACTTTGGTGCTTGTAAGTTGGTGGTGCAGGGATACATATTAATGAAGAAAGAGAATGAATTAAAATAATGTGGCTTTGTACTGCCATTTTACTTAACATTGGTTTATTCTCACATTCAACACAAATGTACCTGAAGTAGTCAAAGGACATACAACTAGGGTAAATTCTTTTGTTTTTATAATTGATTATTGGAAAAAAAAATTAGGTAGCAATGTAATTGCTTTTTTGTTGTCCTACAGAAATAAATGAAAGAAATAAATATAATAAAAAAACACTGACCAGGACAGGGATTTGGCTTAGTGGTTCTACCACCTGCCTCACAAGCGCAAGGGCCCGAGTTCCATCCCCGGTAACAACAGAAAAAAGGAAACACTGACCAAAAAAAAAGAGAAAAGTTTCATGAAAAGAACTATTAAAATAATCTAAAAGATTATAGACATATTTAGTGGGTAACTTAAAGGATTTTCACAGTTAATTTTAGCTGATGAGGTCTAATAAGATAGGTAAAGAAAAAAAAAGACATAAAATATCAATATCTGATATGTATAAGAAGATATTTGACATGTAGATCATGAGATTAAAATTATAATAGGGAACTTAAAAATTTATGACAATGCACACAAAAACATTAATTACAACGAGTAAAATTGACTCCAATACAAATTGAATATTTCAATAGTTCTGTTTGTTTCCAAGAAATTACATTTATTATAAAAAAACTTTCTCAAAAAGAAACCTCTGTGTTGGTCAGTTATGAGATAGTGAATTCTATCAAACATATAAAAAAGAAATAGTACTAGTCTTACAAAAATTTGTCCCAGAAAGTGAAGGTGGAGTAGGTACTTTCCAAATTATTTTACAAAGCTAGGTTAACCTTGGTACCAAACCTGGCAAAAGCATTAGAAAAGTAATCTACAGAAAAATATCCTTCAAAATATATACAGAATTCCTCAATAAACTATTTACACATACATTATGATCAAGTAAAATGATTCCCCAGGGAACCAAAATATGTCCAATATTCAAAGATCAGTCAATGTAATTGATCACAAAGACAGAAAAACGATGTAAATAATTGGTTCATCTTCAACTGATACAAAAAGTATTTGATGAAATTGAGCATTTATTCATGATAAAAAATGAACTCTCAGGAGATAAAGAAGGACCCCTTTTTAATCCAATAAAGATCATTTACAAAACATCTATAGTTAATATCATGCTTAGTGTTGAAATTGTGAACATTAATGGTCTACCTAAGATGAGAAGAGAGATTCACTTTCTATATTTATATTTAATACTATATCAGAGGTGCTACTCAGTTCATAAGATAGGAGAAACAAAAAAAGGTATTCATGTTAGAAAGTAAAAAAATTATGACTTTTATCTGTGGAAAACATTCATTTACCTGTAACTATAGGAACTCTTAAACTAATTTCATAAAAACCATTAGGAAAAGTCCAATATATTTCTTCTTCTTCTTCTTCTTCTTCTTCTTCTTCTTCTT